GAGTGACGCGTAATACCAGAACCTCCGGGTAGGCAAAACAAAGTCGGAGCTGGGTTTCTAAACGGTACTATTAGGGTAAGAGAAATTCACAATTTGTGCAAACCTCGACAGTAGATACGCGTCCAAAACAAACAGTCAGCTTGGACTTCAAATGTGCAAACCAAGGAAGCAAACACGCTCCAACGTGCGAGAGTCACACGTGCAAAGTCAGATACAAATGGCCGGATGACCTCAAGGCCAAGTGGGTGAAGTGGTAAGGACAAACAAAAGTCAGTTCATATACACACACTAATCACAAAAGTGGAGCAGGAGTTACAAATGCGGACATAATAAACGTGGGGAAATTCATTGTCAACATAACGGATGATGCAGTCTCTTTCATCTAGATGGCGCTCTACAGAGTTAGTCGTAGTTTTCAGACATCGGCTCACGGCTGTCGAGTAGTTCCTCCGTGGACCCGAAAACGCGGACGCACTCAGACTTACGGGACACAGTTTGCTGGGACTCTGTGCTTCGGTCCAGGTCAACATCATAAGATGCCCTCTTTGCGGACCGAGTAGCAAGCACACCTCTGCGTTTTCTGGATGGGCCCGGAGCTAAATACCAAAAGCAATTTATGTTCATGTGGACTCACATTTGAGAAAGCCTGAAGAGCACCACCACACCGTGGGCAAGGTTTACCGTCAAAACAGTCGGCGTGATATGACACGCGATCCGTTGCTCACCAGCGGTCACTGGTAGTAGTCGGCCAGTCACAGAGCACACAAAACCCCAAGTCAGTGTTTCCAGTTCGCCATCTTGTTTGAGGTACAGTATCCTCGACCACCAACCGCAGGTCATCGTTTGCAGACTTTGAGGCTTGACGCCGCAGGATTTGTCCCTGAACAACCAACCGCTTAAAGATGGCGGTGGCCCTCCTGGGTTCCAGCCTCTGAAGCATATCCATCACCCGATTCAGTTGTTTAGGAAGGCCACCGAAAGCTGTCGGTGGTGGTTTGTGTACACGTGTAAGGGGTACACGTTTTTCCGGTAGGTTGTAATCCGACAGCCATCGTTGGTGGATTGGAAAGCAAGCTAAGAAAAAGCCAACGATGAATACTTCTTATTGCTCGGAACGGACTGATCTGGAAATACAGAGAACATGTTAACGCAGGGGAGCCACATCTCTTGGTAGAAAGGGCGTGTGCATTCTCCACTACAGGTGTCGACAGTCTGGGAGCAGCTGGGTGTTTGCACCACAAACTATAAATAGCTCAACCTCACCTTGCTTGTTCCAACGCCTTCATACGGCAGCCGCGGCGGTCGGGGACCTAACTGCCTCAAAACGAGAGAGCATGCATATGTCGTAATTCGGAAGACTACGTTCAGAACCTAGGCGTCACCCTCCAGGATTTGCCGCCTATCGCATTGGTACGACGTATGCATCTCGAACTCCTGCGTGTGCCGCTCAGGGTGCCGGGATACCTTTTGAATTGCATTCTCCTATGTGTCGGAGTGGTGCACCTGATCTTCAAGGCGACCGTTCGCATTCTCCAATTAGTTGTTGGTCACATTACCAAAGTGAACCATTCCGGACTGTGCGTGTATGGCTCATTTTCGGTTGATGTACGGCCAGCGAGCAGTAAAATAGGAAAGAACTCGAGGATTGTTTCGGCGCAGAAGCTCTAGGTCTTGTCCGAATCTGTGTGCTTGTAATACGATGAACATAAAACCTACTGTACAGCACTGTCTAGGTGAGCCATGCGGTGAAATATGTGCCGGCTATATGCAGAATGTGTCTATGAACAAAAATATATGGATATTAAATGATACACACCTGCTTTCTGATGGCTTTGCGGACATGAAAGTAGCAAAGCACAACGTCACAGCCGAACACGACTCTTGCCGCACGCATTTGCGCCGCCAACTTGTCCATTACGAAGGTCTTAAGCCAGACAGTTTACACATGGGAGCAAACTGCTCGCTGTCTTCGAACGCATACATAACCGGACGTCCGGTTCCCATGCCGTCCGTTATCAAAAAGGCGTACAGTTTTTATCTAAATGCCGAATACTATATGCTTTGAAAAACTTACCCAAGGCGGTTTGTTGCATGCGTTCCGTCTACAATTACTACATCTGGAAAGCGCCGGAATAACACTATCTGCTGCCATCGGGAGAAACATACGTGGCTATGGTTACCTTCCCCTGCCTGACACACAAGGACGCGTCCGGTCTCCCAAGAGACTGAAGGCATATCATCTGCCATATTAGAACCCAACTATGCGGCACCTGCGCAACATAGCCGGTCGACACTTCGGCGGTAGTTGTGTACATCCTTAGCTGTAAGAATCTTTCCGAATTCATCCGCCACAAACTGCCGCACCTCGGATGACGGCGGTCCGCAATTCAGCAGGGACTTGCGTGTGCCCAAATCCTCTTCGGTTAGGCGTCGATAAACTGGAAGCCGATCGCGCAGAAACTTTGACAGTTTGTGGTTGTGTTCCAGAATGTAAGGGGTCACTGCCGGTTGGTTCCTTTGCCTCCGTAGAAAAAACCGCGCTAGACAGACGGTGCTTCGCGTACTTTTTTATTACAAAAACCGCTCGGCTTACTAGATTCTTCAGATTCCACGGCTTTCCGTTGGTCTTGGAGGGCGCCTGCTGCATTTGTAGTACACCCATTCGTAACGCAAAATGGAGTTGGTGCTTCGATTACTGGATGAACGCACAAATACCACAAAGTTATACTTCATTTATTCATTTGAGGTATTCTCAAAGGACGTGAAGGATGAAAAGGTTACGCTAACAAATTTCTCAACAAAAGCCACTTCCGAAGCAATAGCACACGAAGTTCAAAGCCGCATGTGCGCCAGTAATTTTCAAAAGAGATCCATCAAAACAAATCGCAAAAAATGACGACAGATGAGAGAGATATTTAGATTGAACATATATGCAAAGAAGTGCAACATTTTGACGTTAAAGTTTTTATTTCAGCCGCAGAGTGTTTGCAGAAAAATGCATTGTGCGTCGAGGGGTCAGTGTCCAAAAGCAAGTCACTTCAAAACTGAAAGGCGCGTCAGAAATCGCAACTAGAACGAACGTCGTAGATGCTAAAAAAATATGATGCAGGGAATAGTCCAGTTGGGTTTCAGAACGGATGCCAATAGCTGCTACGTTTTACCGCAAATGTTCACCTTTCACCCATTGCAGTTTTCGAGAAAGTTGCACGCGCGATTTGGGAATCGACTCAACCCCACCAATATTGTAATCACCGAAATCCCACCCTGAGGTATGAAGTAACTTACGTCGTTGTCACCGCAACGCACAGTTCCGTGTTGCACCTGTAGTGGTCTGGCTATCAAATAATTTAGTTTACCAGGAGTGTGGCAAAGAAATAAAAATAAGATAAGTAGGTTGAGCATACAAAAATAAAGAGGTCAGATGGAACAGACACACCAACAATTGTTCTCTTTAAAATAGTTCGTCGTTGGCCCAGGTCAGCGAATGAACAATGATCCAATTATGTTGGTCCAGAGGTCTTCTTCTGAACGGTTCCCACATATAATAGATTCCGAAGATATCTGAAATGTTTTGGTATCAGAGTTAGTACATGAGACTCGCGAAAGGCCGCTGCAAGCGCGAGCGATATCAGAAGAGAGAGTCGAAGCACGTGACCACGCTTGTATTATGTGAAATTTTACAAGTGCGCGTTTTTTGTGGTTTTTCGTATTCAAAAAAAAAACGATTATGCAATTGATGAAATACGTAGTGTTATAATGGAAGTAAAATAAAGGTACAAAACGCCACACTACTCCCCCACTAGAGCGTTGACTGTGAAAAGGGAAAACGCTCGAATAAATAAAGTAACGAATCACAAGTT